GTAATGTTTTTATTTTCTTTCAGTTGTTCTTTCCATATACCCCTTGAATCTGAATGATTAAACCCCCTCCCACGCCCTTTGCCATTTGTCTCTGTGCTCTATTAATATATTAATTTTGATAGAAAGACAATTGTACCTGCGGTGAAACTAATGTAGAGAGGGCCCTTGTGCATGAATTTCTTTAGGCCCTACTCTATTGCAAGGGAGGCCAAAAGGGAGATCCCCAATCTTTTGTACAACTACCACAATAAGAGCTGATCCCAGGTGGGTGCAGACCTCCCAGATGCTCTGTAGACAGACGAGGTGTGCAGTACTAGGCTCTGTTCCCTCTTGTTAGGCTTCTCATTAGTTATTAGTTAAACCACATGAGGGTTTGGGGTAAAGCCAGCCCATGCTTTGCAAATGAACAAACCACTGCAGCAGTCTTGTAGTTTAACTCCCAGTAACAAAGGGCATCTAGAGGTATGCATTCCCCATCAGGCCCTGAGATTACTTGATCATCTAAAACTGAAAACATGACCAGCCTGATAAAATATTGATCTAAAATAAATCGGATTTACTGGCAAAAAAATATATGGAATGAAGGTCCCAATATCTGCATTTTCTTCTTTCCCAGAATCTGAAATAAATCCATGTTTGCCTGTAACTAAAAGAGCTCTGCATGGGCTGCACAGAGAGGTACAATAATTTAATGATATTATTTTTATAATTCTTTATTTTTGTCTCGGGTCATAATCACAGTTTAACACAGCACATAGCATGCATAAGTGTGAAATAAAACAATAAGCCAGTTGTACATATAGACAGATCATTGGTCACCATATAGTAGTGGACCATGAACCAGGGGCGCCATCAGGGCATGACAACCATAACGGTTGTCATGGGCCTGGTGGTCCACATTTCATATGTGCACATATAGATAGCGATTATCGCTATCTTTATGTTCACCTCGGGCCCCGGCAGATGGGGGCCAGCACCATCTTAACTCTTCAGCAGCTCATGTGCCTGTAACTCTCGCAGGCTCCGCACCCTCCGCAGCCAGCAGAGCGTTGTCACGGGTTACCATGGCAACGCGTCACACGGCAAACAGGCACAGCTAAGAGAGTTACAGGCACAGGAGCTGCTGGAGAGTTAAGATGGTGCTGGCTGGACCCCGTCTACATTGTACAGCGGCTGACTCCCTCCACCAGGGATGCAATCTCCCCCCTCCCTAGTCAGGTAAGAAGCAGGGAGGGGGGAATAAAATAGTGTGTCAAATAAATGTGGGTCATATACAAAAAGGCTCCCCCCATGCAGCCCCCTATTTTACACATTTACACACTAAAACCACAACACAAACATGCACTGCATACACTATACACACACTAAAACTACAACACACACACACACACACACTACATTCACCATACAAACACTAAAACTACAACACAAACACACACTGCATTCACCATACACACACTAAAACCACAAGACAGACACACACTGCATACACTATACACACACTAAAACTACAACACACACTGCATTCACCATACACACACTAAAACCACAACACAAACACACACTGCATTCACCATACACACACTAAAACCACAACACAAACACACACTGAATACACTATACACACACTAAAACTAAAACACACACACTGCATTCACCATACACACACTGCATTCACCATACACACACTAAAACCACAACACAATCACACACTGCATTCACCATACACACACTAAAACCACAACACAAACACACACTGAATACACTAAAACTACAACACACACACACTACATTCACCATACAAACACTAAAACTACAAGACAGACACACACTGCATTCACCATACACACACTAAAGCCACAACACAAACACACACTGCATACACTATACACACACTAAAACTACAACACACACTGCATTCACCATACACACACTAAAGCCACAACACAAACACACACTGCATACACTATACACACACTAAAACTAAAACACACACACTGCATTCACCATACACACACTGCATTCACCATACACACACTAAAACCACAACACAAACACACACTGCATTCACCATACACACACTAAAACCACAACACAAACACAGCATTCACCATACACACACTAAAACTACAACACAAACACACTCTGCATTCACTACACAAACATACACTTTATCTAAAACACACAAAACTACATCCATTATACAAATGTGCACTCTGTATCCATTTTACACAACACACATCCTTGTGGACGGATTCAGAATGGACCCCGTGGGCAGACTCGGGGACAGGTCCGGGGGGCCCAGACTTTGAACTGTGTCAGGGGCCCCAAAATGTCTGATGGCAGCCCTGCTCACTACATACAGCTTTTCTCTGTCCCAGGCTATATACCAAGAGCTTCTGTCTGCTAGTAAGAAGGTAAAGAGACAAGTGGACCAGCGACCAGAGTCCTTAGAAAGCGTTGAGCGAGCGCATCATTAGACGCATTTATGCCAAGCTCAGTGTGCGGTCTGCATACTGTGCCCTTAGTTGGCCAGCTTGCATGATTGGCAGTCAGCCTGACATGCATTCATGCCAGGCTGGCCTTTCTATTCTTTGGGCAGACATGCCCTCTTTTTGAGCATGTTCGCCTCTTTTGGCAGGTTACAGGATTTGTGTCAGTGGCACACCCTTTTACCCTTTAATTGTCAGCACCAGGCCCACTGGGCTGTTAATCTGGCCCTGAGTATGTAGAATGTAAAATTTCTTTTTTTTTTCATTTAAGGGGTATCAGGGTATTTGCAAGTGAATGTTATGAGTTTGATTGCATAAAATATGTGGCACAAAAGTTTTGATATTTGATATAAACCTGTGGAAAACATGCAGCAAAGCAGCACTGAGGGTTAGAAAAAGTTGGCAGGTTTGCATTGTTGCCAGAACAAATATCTGGGACCGATCCTTTCAAAAGGATTCAGTGGGTTAAGGCCAAGCAATCAAAACATGTAATAAACTGTGTGAATCTTGTAAATGCTCATACGTTTGCAGAACACACATGTTTAGAGTTCTAAAAGATCTTACCTTTTAAACTCAGCCAGTGTTTTAATCTTGGGGTCGTCCATTGACAGGAGTTCATGTTTCCCTTCGTGGCTGTATTGGATGATCCCAACACGAGTGGTAATAAGTTCCTTTCCCTGAAAATTAACAGAACAAAAACCATTACTAGATATGGTTATTTGCACATGAAATAAAAACATGAAGGAACCTACAGCTATTATGAAAACACTTATGTATTGACTAGTAGGAATGTTCGGGCAGGTGTGATTTATTAAGATGCGGATATATTTTCTATGGAAAATGAATTTCATATAACCATTCCTGTATGATAAGGTGAATAATGTTGTCTTTTATGTAATCTTTATGAGTATATTACCTTGTCAGTTGACAGATACTACATATGTCATGTGAGTTACATAAAATACAAGTGTATAAATAAGATTATACAATTATATTATTGTCTATTACTGTTAACGATTACTTAATAGACTTGCAAAGTTCAGGGAATTGTCCCAAGGAACATAATTAGTATACTTAGAGATCCCCTGGAATAAAATACACGATTAATTCATGTGTATATGTCAGAAATGTAAAGGTTAACTTAACCTCGTATTCGTTGTTCAGTAATGTAATGATTGAATGCTTAAAGGGACACTCCAGGCAACCAGACCATTTCTGCCCATTGGAGTGGTCTGGGTGCCAAGTCCCACTACCCTTAACCCTGCAACTGTAATTATTGCAGTTATCAAACTGCAATAATTACCTTGCAGGGTTAAGTCCTCCCCTAGTGGCTGTCTACTAGACATCCACTAGAGGGCACTTCCGGGATCATAGCACAGATTAGCTGTGCTATAGCATCGCTGGACGTCCTCACGCTGTGTAAGGACCTCCAGCGTCGCTAAAATCCCCATAGGAAAGCATTTTCAATGCTTTTCTATGCAGAGGTCTAATGCACTTGCATGGCATTGCTGCACATGCGCATTAGGTCTACCCAGCCGGCGGGCGGGATCAGTCTCCTCCGCTGACGTAATGAAGGGGAGGAGCGGCGGCAGAGGAAGAAGCAGCGACGTGGGACATGTTGCTGCCTCTGGTAAGTGACTTAAGGGGTTTTCACCCCTTCAGCAACCAGGGATGGGAGGTGGGAGGGAGAGGGGACCTGCAGTGCCAGGAAAACGGATTGTTTTCCTGGCACTGGAGAGTCCCTTTAACTTTGTCATGTTGTTATAATCAAGTACTGCCTATCTAAAGCTTACTCCTGTCTTGAATAGTTGCTTGATTGAGTCTCCTGGCTTGCCTTGCTTTCCATAACCTCCTTTATAGCCTCAGTACCTTTTAGTCCAAAGTAACCTGTCCAGTAGACATGTGCATTCGTTTTAGGACGAATATGATTTTATCTGAATTTTCAGACTTTTTTGTATTCGTTTACTATAACCTAAACGAAAGTCCTACATACAAATTATATACGAAACGGCAAATGCCGAATGCATTACCTTTTTGTTTCAGTTCATTTAGTTTATTACAAGGAAGGAGCTACCAGTTTGCAGCTCCCTTCTTGTAATATGTAAAACTAGAAGCGGCAGTGAGCAGTGCTCTTTGCCACTTCCTAAGCCCCCCATGTCCTCCCTCACTAAATGGGGGTCAGTATGACCCTCCTATTAACATAAGGGAGAATAAAGTCTCCCGAATGCCACTACTCGCTATGCTGTGAGTATGGGCATGTCTACTAAACACCCTAAAACCTATACATGGGGTACTGTTTTACTCGGGAGACTTTGCTAAACACAACTATTACTGTTTCAAAACAGTAAAACCTATCACAACAATAATAAAGTTTTTTGCATTTTTCAAACACAAACGGCATTTTTACTGCCGATCTCCTTGTGATACGTTTCATTTACAGTTACAGGCTGGTTATGTTGTCTTTGAGACTGTATCGTAGCCCAGGAATGAGAATTACCCCCATGATGGCGTACCATTTGCAAAATGAGACAACCCAAGGTATTGCCAGTGGGGTATGTTCAGTATTTTTTTAGTAGCCACTTAATCACAAACACTAGCCAAAGTTAGCGTAAATATATTTTTTAGGATTTTTTACACACAAACAAATATGAACGCTAACTTTGGCCAATGTTTGTGACTGAGTAGCTGCTAAAAAAGACTGGACATAACCCATATTGAATACCCTGGGTTGTCTACTTTTGCAAATGGTATGTTATCATAGGGGTAATTCTAATTCCCGGGCTACGATACAGTCTCAAAGGCAACATAACCAGCCTGGCAAATTTCAACGTGTATAAACTGAAAAATGAAACATGCTACATTTGACCATGTAACTTTCCAAAACACCATAAAATCTGTACATGGGGGGTACCGTTGTATTTGTGAGACTTTGCTGAATACAAATATGTATGTTTTAGTGCAGACAAATCTTAATTTCACACACATTTTTAAATTATATTCATAATGAATTATGTTCCATATATGGATATTTCATGTGAAATGAAAGCTCTGTTTCTCCTGAACTAAATGATATATAATAAATGTGGGTTCACTTAATATGAAAAAGGTGAATTACGGTTGAATAGACATATAGCGCAAATTTCAGTTTTTGTTTACAATTTGTTTTGATCACAACGTGTACAAACTGGCTCAGTCCTTAAGGGGTTAAATGTTAATTATATGATTTTTTTTATTTGCAAATTGATATATTACTTGAGATAATACATAATTATATAACAATAAAAAAGATACGTAACTTTACTATTACCTGGGATATTAGTGTTATAAACTAAAATGTCTATCTGGTAATATATGAAGATAGAACTTTTAAAAATAGGACATTAACACAAGTAAACTTACTGGCGTAAAGTATTAATTTGTAAATACAGTTTAAGGTTGCTATTCACTAAAAAGTGAATTGTCAGGGAAATGGCAAAATCTAGACCAAAATAGCTGAACTAAAAATATTTGAATGGTAGATATTTTTCTAGTTCAGCCATATATTTGGCTAGATTTAGCAATTCCCCTGGTCTATTCACTTATTAATGAATATACCCTATAAAAACGTGCAGGGCTCTTGCTGGAGACTTGCCAAGCAAATTTGCTACAAACTTAAAAAGTGTCAACTAGAACTTGTGTTGCGAGTGCTCTGCTAGTGAAAAACATGCCAGTGAAAATGAGCAACAAAATAAATGTAAAAATTAACCATTTTTTATTTTTCACTTATTTATTCAACCGACATTAAATATTTGTGAAATTAACAGCTTTAGACAGTATAGTATTCTTTATCTTGCAATATTTCAGGTGTGAAATGTTGGTATAAAAGCAAAAATGAAATTTTTTACTCATACTCTAAATGTGTCAGGATTACAATTGATCCAACACGCAGTATTGGTATCACACTTAGGAGTAATGATAACGTCTAACCGGACCTTAGAATGGCCAGACTTAACATACCAGAGAATAGTCTAAATACTAGCCAAGGTCAGGAACACAGAACGAAACACAGTTGCAAGGAATAGCCAATAGTCAAGGGATACCAGAATTCAGGGAAGTCAAAACGGAGCCAAGTCAATAACCAAAGAAACACGATCAGGAACACACTCTCAGATAACAAGCAAAGGGAAACCACAACAGGGCAATGATTGGAAGAAATTAGTAAGTTAAATATCCCTCTTGTGAATCTGATTGACCCCAAAAAGAGCGCGCGCATCCCCTACGTGACGTCATCCGTACGTCGCTGTCGCTACCATTGTTAACAAACGTGAAGCTACATAACAGTGTGGATCCACAGCAGCCGGCATCCACTGGCATGATGCAAAAACCCGGTCTTATGGCATAGGACCGCCGAGCAGCACTTCTCCTGTTCCTGGAAAGGTGATTTTTGTTGTGCGTAGCATATGGAGAGGATGTAAACATGACAAAATGTGACAAAAATAGATACATAAAAATTGTCAAATACCTTGCAAGGTATTTGCAAGGATCCCACAGGCATTACTAGCAATACAGCCTACTAAAATTGGCAACAGACTATAAAAAGAATGTCGGCATTTGAACATAATGCCACATATTTTAAATGCAGATAAATCATATATTTCTATAAGTAAAGGTACTTAACACTGCTTAAACAATCTCTGGAATGCTAATGTAATGCTAACAGTGAAATGGTAGGTTTTAGTCACTCCCTTCCCCTCCTTCCTGTATTGTTTTAAAGCAGGGTGTGAGCCTGTGTTTTCAGCAAATTTACAGGTCTTGTATCAGTGGCCAGTATCTTCTGCCAGATCATTTTTTTCCTCTATAGGCTAATAATCATAAATTGTGTATAAATGAGGGTGTGTGAGGCTTTATGGACTAATTGTATTCTGCAAAATACATATTTATATATACAATTGACAGGATGTATATATATATATATATATATATATAAAATAATTGACTTTCTTAACCTGGGGTATATTTTTGTGTAGTCTTCATTCTTGAGGCTTGGGAGCATAATGGTTCCGCACTGTATCGTACCTGCTACAACTGCACTTTTTTGGACAGAGATCTCACATGTCCCATACTGAACCTTTTAAACCCTCTTCCAACTTGGGGCATATTTACACAAATGCTCCCATCACAGCTGGTGCTACTACTGCCTTCACTTCAGATATATATATAACTGGCATTGAGTTTCAGCATATTGAAGTAAGATATAGTACATAACCCTCGCTTCCAAGATGGGGAAGCTCATCACTAATATACTTTGTCTGCTAGCCAAACTAATATGCACAATATCCAACAACTCAAAAATAGACTTCCTGACCTTGATGCTCCCTTCTTTGCATATTTACAGATGCGTATACAAATATATGCTTATTTGTATGTTATTTTATGTCTTTTATATATTTTATTTTATATTCTTTATGGATCTATATACAGTCAGGTCCATAAATATTGGGACATCGACACAATTCTAATCTTTTTGGCTCTATACACTACCACAATGGATTTGAAATGAAATGAAGATGTGCTTTAACTGCAGACTTTCAGCTTTAATTTGAGGGTATTTACATCCAAATCAGGTGAACGGTGTAGGAATTACAACAGTTTGTATATGTGCCTCCCACTTTTTAAGGGTCCAAAAGTAATGGGACAGATTAACAGTCATAAATCAAACTTTCACTTTTTAATACATGGTTGCAAATCCTTTGCAGTCAATTACAGCCTGAAGTCTGGAATGCATAGACATCACCAGACACTGGGTTTCATCCCTGGTGATGCTCTGCCAGGCCTCTACTGCAACTGTCTTCAGTTCCTGCTTGTTCTTGGGGCATTTTCCCTTCAGTTTTGTCTTCATCAAGTGAAATGCATGCTCAATCGGATTCAGGTCAGGTGATTGACTTGGCCATTGCATAACATTCCACTTCTTTCCCTTAAAAAACTCTTTGGCTGCTTTTGCAGTATGCTTCGGGTCATTGTCCATCTGCACTGTGAAGCGCCGTCCAATGAGTTCTGAAGCATTTGGCTGAATATGAGCAGATAATATTGCCCGAAACACTTCAGAATTCATCCTGCTGCTTTTGTCAGCAGTCACATCATCAATAAATACAAGAGAACCAGTTCCATTGGCAGCCATACATGCCCACGCCATGACACTACGACCACCATGCTTCACTAATGAGGTGGTATGCTTTGGATGAGCAGTTCCTTTCCTTCTCCATACTCTTCTCTTCCCATCACTCTGGTACAAGTTGATCTTGGTCTCATCTGTCCATAGGATTTATAGTGTTACGAAGTGGAGCAATGTTAGAGCTAAAGGACAAAATCCCTTTCCCACATGCAATCAAGTAATAAAAAAATAAATTTATACTTATATTGCTTGTCCATAGGATGTTGTTCCAGAACTGTGAAGGCTTTTTTAGATGTTGTTTGGCAAACTCTAATCTGGCCTTCCTGTTTTTGAGGCTCACCAATGGTTTACATCTTGTGGTGAACCCTCTGTATTAACCCTGGTGAAGTCTTCTCTTGATTGCTGACTTTGACACACATACACCTACCTCCTGGAGAGTGTTCTTGATCTGGCCAACTGTTGTTAAGGGTGTTTTCTTTACCAGGGAAAGAATTCTTTGGTCATCCACCACAGTTGTTTTCCCTGGTCTTCCGGGTCTTTTGGTGTTTCTGAGCTCACCGGTGCGTTCTTTCTTTTTAAGAATGTTCCAAACAGTTGATTTGGCCCCACCTAATGTTTTTTCAGCCAAATGATGGCTTGCTTCACTGATAGTGACAGCTCTTTGGATCTCATATTGATAGTTGACAGCAACAGATTCCAAATGCAAATAGCACACTTGAAATGAACTCTGGTCCTTTTATCTGCTCCTTGTAAATGGGATAATGAGGGAATAACACACACCTGGACATAGAACAGCTGAGCAGCCAATTGTCCCATTACTTTTAGTCCCTTGAAAAGTGGGAGGCACATATACAAACTGTTGTTATTTCTACACCGTTCACCTGATTTGGATGTAAACACCCTCAAATTAAAGCTGAAAGTCTGCAGTTAAAGCACATCTTGTTCATTTCATTTCAAATCCATTGTGGTGGTTTATAGAGCAAAAATGATTAGAATTGTGTTGATGTCCCAATATTTATGGACCTGACTGTTTGTGAATATATCCATTCTTTGCTTACTCCATTGCCAAATTAGTCTTTGTCTGCACTACTATTTCCTCCTTTTATTGTTACAGATATTGTTAACCTTGGCTCGGAGGACTGGGCCCACTCAAAAGATCTTCCGCTAACACAACTTGGCTCGGAGGACTGGCCCACTCAAAAGATCTTCCGCTAACACAAGCCACAACTCATCATATTCTATAACATCACTTTACCCACACATTGGACCTACCTTGGACCACACGACTACACAATAAGGTATATTACAGTAGACAACATATTTTCCAACATTACGCATGAAACTCTCATAAGTGCAACTGTTAAACTACTTAAAATCCTTCCATCAGCCTCCTACCAAGAAATGCATCTAAAGATAACACGCCATGCCTTCTACTCCCCTCAAAAGCATTTCTGCTAAAACAAAGTGATTTAGCCAACTGTCTAAAGTGTGGGACGGACAGAGCTGATTTTTTCTATTGCTTCTGGGGATGTGTGAAAATGTAAACGTTCTGTAGCAAAGTCCATATCAAGACTAACAGGCAAATCTTTTCACATCTCTTC